CATGCGAAACGATTATTATCTCGGAGATTGCAAAATTGACTGCGATTTACCCTCAGTTCTTATCCCTGGATCAGCATGATTGCGGCGACCCCGCAGGATGAGAGCGGGGGTGTCCTCAAACGATCTCCCGCCGTCTTGTTGACGACTGCCCGCCACTTCTTCTGTACAGCTACGAATATCTGTAGGCAGAAGAGACGCCTTTGGCCGATGAAGAAAAAAATTAAAGATTATGATAAGAAATGTAGCTATACTGGGTTGTGCAGTTTCTTCTGCTTTACACTGGGGAAGATGACGACAGGATTATTTTCGACAATTTTAGAAAAAACTGGACTGTCCTGGCACAGTGTGGCTGAAGATTAGTTACTTGCTTGGGCTGTCCTTTGTCAAATTCTTTTTTATAAGAATGGTTAAAAGCTACCACCTTTTTTCACAGAAGTGGATTAGTTCTGCTAAATATTATATCTGTCCATTTTCGTTTCTGATGGAGATGGAATAGTTATGGAGCCCGCTGCCTACACGGAGCCTCGGTCAAATGTATACGTATCTTATCCAGGGAAGGAAACTACACGTAAACATATTTCTAAAATGTTCTAATTTTGTTGATTACGGGTCGATTGGAACCGCAACTGTTTCCCCAGCAATTCTGGACCCTGCTGTCGCTATTTGATCTAATGTGAGGTAGTTACTTGTAGGAGATTGGAGAGATGGGGGAGTAAGTCTAATTTCCAGAACTCTAATATGCCACGTATGGATGTGAAGGATTTACATTAAAAAAACGAAGGGACGAGAATATTTTAAATTAAAAAAGAACAAACATGGAATGTCATTTTCTTTTGACGGGTATATTTCCTGTGGATTTTTGGTGTATTTCGTGTGGATGTTCAGATACTTCTTTTTCTTTCTGGCTGAGTTCTCTGTGGTATGGCTATGTGGGAAACCGCAAAAAATCAGAAAGAAAACGGAAAAGGAAAGAAAAACATAAATATCTTATCCACTACAGCAGTCGGGTAGACGGACTCTTCTTTTTCTACCTCTTTTTCTTCGTGAATTACAACATCTGGATATTGCAAAGAATCTCTGTATTTCGTCACGTTTAGACAACGAAATTTGATTTTCGTCGAGCCTTTCCTCGTTTTTTGTCTCGTCGCGGCGACATAATTTTTCAAGGCGCTATCTGGATCGATGGCAGATCTCCAACCGTTGATGCGTCGTATACGGGCACTGTGAATGTCCCTTGACGCCGATTTTCTTCTTTATCAGCTCCATTTGTACCCTGAATTTCGGCGTGACGCATTCACTATTGTTTTAAATGGCATTGTGTATTAGATAATGAATAAAAGAGGAAACTGGTGTGAGGTACAGGGTAACAACTTGACCAATTTACGGCTGTGCTTGGGTCAGAAGATTTTTTTGTGTGGGAAATTATATTCTATTGCCACGATGGACTTCGGTAATTTTCCTCTATTTCACATATGCCTGTACAGTTCCCTCTATCTCTGCTAATAAGCAGTTGTGGAATAACAGACTAGTAAAAGCATTTTCGTACCTTAGTTTTAGTCATATTTATAGACCAAGGTTGCCAACTTATTGAATTTTAAACAGCTGTATACTTAATAAATTTTGATATTTTTTTAAGTGCCAAAGAAATATTTGGTCCTTGCATGTATCGGGACATTTCACAGTGAAAAGAATATGATATTTGGGGAAGTAGCAAGATTGCAATCACTGCGCGTCCTTATCTTTACCCCGTAGAGGGAGATCTCTCAGCGTTCGTCTGACCTCATTTCAAGTGTTTAAAGTGATGCTCATTGCCGAACATAATCGAATCGAGCTCGGATCCGATAAGCGTAACGCAACCCAATAATAGGTTTTTGCAGCGAAATTTTAACACGTCTTCCGCTGCTTTTTTCTCTCTCCTTCTCTCCGTTAGCATCTTGTTAACCAGCCGCTTACGAAATTTAACATCTGTGAATTAGGTTTCTTTTATTTTTTTCTCTCATCTTGAAATATCGCGTGTTGCTTCGGCCATAACCTTTGTACAAAGTACTGCAAAGGCGTATTGTTTGTGATATAACTGCCATTCGATAGTTTTTAGAAAAAAATAAAAAGAATTGTGCAATTGCCAAGTATGGCGGAATTAGCCGGGAGATAATTTAAGGCGTACTGAAATATATATCTGCAAAGAAAAAAATGCTCTTTTTAAAAATGTATGCCTTAGCAAATTTTGTCGGTCAGACTTTTCATCATACTCCTGCTAACCTCTCTCTCTCTCTCTCTCTCTCTCTGCCCTACTCCAACTGCTTTTCATCTTATGTCACATTACAGACTAAATTGCCAGCAAGAGAATATCGGTATTTTTGCACACGGCTTCTCTTCCCCAGCGATCACGGTAATAGACTACGTCACTCGGCCCTCGTAGCAAACATACTAATGCCACATGAGAACTTCGCGTGATTTGCGTCGAAAAACGCGCGCAGGCAGTGACAGAAAAAATCAAATC